CAGACCAAGAACCCTAAGTGCAACGAGGGAGAAAGCGAGGAACCGACTGGGAAGGACAGCAACGAGAGCGTGTACGAAGCGGAGCGGGTCGAGTTTGATCGTGGTAGGACTGGCCACAGCTGCACCGGAGCAGCGGCACCGGAGCATGCGGACGGCATCGAACCATGGCGCACGGACAAACATCTCTTGTGTTGCCATTTTTTTTCCGTGTTTTTTCCTGAACATAGGTGTTGGGTGTGTGTGATGACGTCACTGGTTTTGTAGAGAGACGCGGCAGAGATGGCGCGGACAACCCGGGTGCCGTAATTGTGTACCTGCATCGTGGAAGACCCCTTCAATGTGGGACGATTCCTAGTCAGTGTCGATGTTTTCACTGCTGTGTCTAACACAGATGATCTGGATAGATTCGGGTGATTATCAACTGCAATGATGGCTTTGGGTGGTTGTTCTTCTTCATTGTATGTCCACGGACTCATTCTGGCAGCACTTCAGACAGCATTACGCTGTAGTCGACATTCATTTTGGTTAAGTGCGGGACAAGGGGGATGATGCTGCTGCTGTATTATAGTCGAACTGTAGTGTGTGGGCGTGTTGTTCAGCTGTGAGCACGCAAACGTGCTGCAGGGATTGTAGGTGTACTTCCTCGGGCTTGTGTACCCTTTGCTTGCTAACAGAGTGTGTGTTCTTTAGATCTTCTGATGGCTCCATCATTTTTGTGACCACGGACCGAGTCTTTACTATGATTTTGGGATTAGCAACTGACAAGAAAACAACAACAACAACTACTGTCATGATCCACAACGGCGGTGGGCACCAAATACTGCTTTGGAAGGAACACCGTTTTGATGTTGCCGACGGGTTGCTGATGCTGCAGCCGCTGCAAAGTGCCATGCATGTACACCGCCCAACAGCAATCAGGCCCGGCATTCAAGTGTGCATCGTGTCTCTTGGTACCACTTCGCTCTCGCGCACCATCACGACCCATCATACACGCCAATTATCTAAGGCACTTTCGATGCCCCACCTGATTTGCCGCCGGCAAAGTGGGCTAGCGTGACATCAACATCTCCCTGAGCACCATCGTCCGCAACACCGCCGCCCTCCGCAAGAGTTCGAAGCGCGACGCACACGTTCTGTCCCTTGCCTCCGATGCCTGAACCAACGGAGCTCGCCCGATTGACGTCGCCCACGCGTAGGCCCTTTGGGGGCTTGAAGATGATGGTGCGCTGTTGGGCACCGTTTAGACCCACCACAACGAGCGAACGTCTGTAGTCCTCGCTGGTCCTGTGGCTTGTTACTGCTGTTCCCGAAGACATGTGCACAACGAAAGCAGGGCAGAGAGGAAGGACAGCGGTAGCCACCAGGGCCACCAGGAGGTAAAAGCTACTGTCGCGGGTCATCCGGTGCACACACGGAGGCTTTCTGTGCGTCGCGGCAGTCCGCAGCGACGCCGTCGTAAATGTTGCAAATCGCATGTTGAGATGCGCCGCGTTTTTGTCCCGAACGGGGACATTTTAATTCCAAACGTGCTCTTTTTACAGCACTTGCCTCGTCCCCCCTCTCCGCTCCGACGCAACGAACGGCGTACGGGACGCACAAGGAGAAGATAGCAGCGCCGAGGTAAGAACACGGACGCGTGCGGGCCGCAGAAGTATACGCGGGGTGCTGTTGTGCATTCGTGCGTTTGCCGAACCGATTGTACGCGGGTCCTGCCGGGTTGTTCCTTGCTCCTTTTCTTGAGACCTTGTGCTGCGAGGCTTAACATCCTCATCGTCCACGCCAACAACGCCGACACGCCGAGGGTGCCAAGCGTCCACCTCCAACGCTCCGCGTGCGTTTGCAACGTTGGCCTGCTCCTCCAACCGCTCTGTCGTCGTAGAGAACGCAACGTAATGGCCTGCTAAGAGAGCATGGAGCATATCACGCCGACGAGGAGCACAACACCGACAACCAAGCCTGACGAAGGAGCACCACCGGCAACACCGAGAGGAGGTGAGGGCGGGTGCATAGAACGGTGTTGAGTCCCCCCCCCCCTCCACGGGGCGTCGTCCAAGGCAAAGCTGAGTTCAGGGTTCTCTTTGCTTGTCGATGTTCTCTGTCTCAACTACGGCTTTCCAACATTGCAGTGCGCACACACACCGGCAGCTATAGAGCCGTTGTGGCGACGGGTCTTTACATGAGGACGCATCGATGCAACACTCAACGACGACACGTCGCGAAAGGCCACGCCCACGCACAAATATATCCGCAGCAGTAGCAGCAGCAGCATCACCTGTCGCCACCACTCGCAGATACCCTCTTGCCCACTTGATCTGGACTGTCGAGGAAGGAGACTGCCTAACAGCAGTACGTCCAACGCATAGAGCCGTTGCCGACAGTTGCAGACTCTTGTGCTAAACAACTGCCGTAAGGAGCGGCTTCCACCACTACGACGACGTCAGCAGGACAAACAAAATCACAGCATCTTCTGAACGGAATATGCCAAAAAAACTGCTCCTGCTTGCGGGTCTGTAATCCCCGTACATGCTCTCCGAAAGCTGCGACCCTCTACAAACATTGCCGTGATTCTGCCTTTGATTAGCTCTCAGTTCGATGTTTACCGCAGCAGCAGTGACGCAGCATACCTCCGAATCGTTCTTGGTGCCGATGCAGCCCCCCCCACAATACATGATTCTGCCCGCGGGTTCGCGGTGCCGTCCATCATGTGCAAGTTAACCCACAACCGTGCCGGAAAATGAAACTGCCTGTACCCACCGGGATCTCCTCACGCGACGCCATCTCACCACCAGACGCTATTTAGGGTGGACACCGTCAACGACGCCGTTCGCGTTGTATCCTGCCGTCACTGCTGTTGTTTGTGTACACACTCCCTGTTCCGCATTCTCAACGTTGTATGCATGATACAACAGGTGTTGCATACCAGGTACCATTTCATGATAGATAACACCAGTTTTGGGTATTTGGGTTGTTCCAACTACGCTACGGTAGTCTTCAATACCGCTGAAATTTCGATGCGATTTTCCTTCTCCCGTCTCTTGCTAGCTCTGTGCTGCTGAGACTCCATACCGCATGTAATATTGCGAGCCCCCTCCCCCCCCCCTCCGTATGCACAACAGCGTCGGTGTTCGGCCTTTAGATAGTACCCCCATGTGGTAGGTATCCCGTCGCATGCCCCATGGTCTCGCCCCCTCCACTGAACGCATCTCCGACTCAGGGTCCTCTACGCCCCCTCGTATTAAGCTTCAACACAAGAAGGGCGTGCGGTTATCTCCCGAACCGCAGAGCGATATTTCTGACCGTTCACCCCCCCCCCCCAAACTGATT